TGTTTACGTCTACCACCGATTTTAATTTTTTTTTCAATTCAGCTCCTTCATTTTGAATTTATAATAATAATAATAATAACAAAATGAATAAAGGTAAAAACCGTTTAAATAATATATATTTAGCCGCCTTTGATTGTCAATACACAAGAAATTAGAGTAATGTTAGTAGGGCTCGGCCCATTTTTTTTTTTTTTTTTTAAACCAAGGCATTCTGATATACATTTTTTTATTGTTTTAATATTTGATTATAAATGCAATTTTAATAATATTTTTAGTCGTGTATAAATCCTAATATACGTAACATTTAAATATTTTTACATCCGCTGTTGTGATTAATTGGCTACATTAGTGTATCTTGGAACTACTTATCAAAAAGACATTTTTTTCTATGTTTTTAGGCCAGTTTTTGCAGAACTTTTGGATCTATGATATCTTTTCTATTAAAATATGCAAATTTGTTTACTCTTGATAGTGGAGTCAAATAAAGTATGTATGATTTGCATTTAAAAAACTTTATTAAACATTATTTAAATTCTTATGAATTTATTACTGTGCATTCTGCTTATTTTTTTTAACCAGGAATGTTTTTATTAGATTAAAAAACTGAATAACGTAAACATTTTAAATAATGACTAATGTTAAATAATTTTAAATAAAGTGTAATTGATAGATAAATAATTGTTTGCTATTTACAATTAATTAAAAAGTTTAATGAGTAAAAAATTATATAGAAAAAATGGGAATTTTTTTGAATGTTTAAACTCTAAACTGGATGTTTGTGTGATAATGTCATTTAACTTCCAGGTATCAAATAAACTAAAATGTGTCAGTATCATCTGTGAATAATTATCATTCAGTGTAAGAAACTTGGCTTTAATAATGCAAAACAAAATAAATGAAAATGATTCGAAAGTCAGTTTTTGGAAAAAAAATACAAAAACTGTCCCCGGAAGACCAAGTCCTAAGAAGGAATACCAAAATAAACCTGCCACAACTTCCTCTTTTCAAGAATTTGAAAATAGTGTTTCTGATGCTTGGACTATTGGAGATAATGATGATGATAATGATCTTTTAGCAATAGCAGATGTAACATTATCGAAAAAAGCAGCACAATCAGCTGCTATTAGTGTAATACAGAACCATCATATTTCTCGCCTGAATGATTCACTTGTAGAAAAAAGGAAAACAGAAGCTATACAAAGATTAACCTTGCAACAGCCCTCAGGTTCAGAAAATTCAACAAATCAAAAGCCTAATCAAAAATCTATCGAGGACTTGAATACATCGCTCAAGGAAACAGAAGAAAGTGAATTAATAAAGACGGGAAAATTTATGCCTTTGATAAATGCACCAGTTTTGAATTTAGATAAACTTAGAAGTTTAAGTTGGAGTGGGATACCACCCCGATTAAGGTCGATGACATGGAAATTATTAGCTGGATATTTACCAGCAAGTTTGGAACGTCGACAAGCTGTATTAGAACGAAAACGAAAGGACTATTGGGGTTTTGTTTACCAATACTATCACACAGATTGTAATGAAACAAATCAAGATATCTATCATCAAATTCATATTGATATTCCAAGAATGTCCCCTGAAATAAATTTATTTCAACAAGAATCTGTTCAACAAATATTTGAAAGAATTCTTTTTATTTGGGCTATTCGACATCCAGCATCTAGTTACGTTCAAGGAATTAATGATTTAGTGACTCCATTTTTCATCGTTTTTTTACAAGAAATACTTCCGGAAAATGAAAATTTGAACACAATTATTTTTAATAACTTGCCAAAAGAATCTAGGGATGCAGTTGAAGCAGATGCTTTTTGGTGTTTATCCAAATTTTTAGATGGAATACAAGACAATTATATTTTTGCTCAGTTAGGAATACAGCAAAAAGTAAATCAATTAAAAGAATTAATTCAAAGAATAGATTTGGAATTACACAAACATTTGCAAAATCACGGAGTAGATTATTTACAATTTTCTTTTCGTTGGATTAATAATCTCTTAACGAGGGAATTACCATTAAGGTGCACTATAAGGTTGTGGGATACATATTTAGCTGAAGCTGATGGGCTTGCAGCTTTTCAGTTATATGTATGTGCAGCTTTCTTAATTCAATGGAGAAAAGAAATTCTAATACAAAAAGATTTTCAAAGCTTGATGCTCTTATTACAAAAAGTGCCAACAGAAAAGTGGACCGAATGTGAAATAGGTGTCCTCGTAGCAGAAGCATATCGTTTAAAGTTTACTTACGCCGATGCCCCTAATCATTTACAATAAGTTATTGAATTTTCAGTGTTAGTTGTGTGAACATTTATTGTTTAAAATAAAAATAGTTAACATTTTCTATCTGAAAAGACTATAAGTATGCCATTATTGAGAGATTTATATTTTAAGAAATTTATGAAAGTAAATTTTTATATTTAAGAAAAAATAATTGTAAGGAATTTAAAAATTACTAGTAAAATTAATTTTTCAGGTTTGGTACATACATACTTTATTAATATTCAACCTTTACTTAAAAAACCTCTAACTTTTTCAAAAATATAAGAAATATTATTTTACTTACTATTCCGTAATTTTGTAAAACATCAACATCGTGAAATATTTCATCAGATTCTTCAGTCGAAGTATTTAACAATGAATTTTTTCCTTCTAACTTACTCATCTTTAAAATGTTCTAGAGATACTAACGGTTAAAAGCGGAAATAGAATACGCTTTTAAATTTTATCATAGAGTAAATAACAAACACAAATATCCTGGAAGCGTGAATTAAACTATTGTATTTTATTTAAAAAATTTTTACTTTTGGACCTATTTACCGATTTCGTGATTTATCATCTTACATTTAAAATTTAATATTTTCTGTAATTAAAGTCAGTTATGGTAAGTGCCTGTAAAAAATATATAAAATTTTATTAGCACTTTAAATTTACCTCCATGTATTTAAGATAAACACAGGTTTATAAATATTTTGCATGGCAATTATTAACATCATCTTACACAATTATAACATTTCAAAAATTGTATCGTATGTGTGATTGTCTATTGATTTAATTTATTGATTTTAGGGAGAACAAGTTAATCCCAAAGCGTATCCTTTAGCGGATCATCAATTAAATGGTGCTATATTGCATTTAATTCAACAAGCAGAAAATTACCGGCAGTTAAAAAGAGGTGCTAACGAGGCAACAAAAACTTTAAATAGAGGACTTGCTGAATTCATAGTTATGGCAGCCGATGCTGAACCTTTAGAGATTTTACTTCATCTACCAATATTATGCGAAGATAAAAATGTCCCTTATGTATTTGTTCGATCTAAACAAGCTTTGGGTCGAGCATGTGGTACTTCTAGGCCTGTAGTGGCCTGTTCTGTTACAGCTAATGAAGGTTCTCAGTTAAAACCTCAAATTGAAAGTATTCAACAAGAAATTGAAAAACTGTTAGTTTAAATTATTCAATGCAATATTTTGTACAAGATAATTTGCAGTAATGATACTTTAGGTTAAGTGATTTTATTGTTTAATTTTTTTACTATATTACTCGTAATAAGCAATTAAAAATTAATTTTTTTTAAAATGCATTTTTATTATAATCCTTTTCAATAAACCATGTAACTAATTTAATGTGTAACATCGAATTAATAATAAAATATTGAAATGAGACTTTAATTATTTTTCTCGTATGTTTGTTTACTAAATTGGTTTATTAATTAATATTATGCAATAAATTGATGCTGATATCCTAAAAATTCAACTAAAATTGCCTTTACTTTATAAATCTTATAGACACTATATATCTTATAGAATCTTGGGCTTTTAAAAAATGAAGTGTTTTCCTGAACTTAAATTTTAACAAAAGAACATTTTTAAGCAAATTTTTCTTTTAATTTACTATTTAAAAAAAAATTTAATTTTTTTAAAATTAAATTTGATATGAACTTAAATTCAATTTCAATATTATATTAATTATATGGGAGTAAGTTTTTACCATAGCATAAAAAATTATCATGTCGAAATAAAATTTTTTTTTTTTAAATTTAGGTTGGTAAAAATGTTAAGAAATAAGCTTTCTACGTTGGTTTCTAAGTTATAAATGCAATGTCTAGTGTTGATGTTGACTTAGTTAATGACAATAATTGTAGGGAAGATTCAAAAAATGGTTTAGTAAGCTTACCAGAAAATTCAGTTTTTAATGAAGAGTATGATTTCCCGAAATCCGTTTGCCATACATGCAATGGCTATTACGGCCCTTGCTTTGGTGAACCAATTTGTGCTACCTGTCATGCATTTCTTTTTCCTGAAACTTTAACTTGTGGATATTTCGAGGTAGACACGTTATTTGAATTCCACACAGATGACAGTGATTCTGGAAATGATGAACCGACGGATTCATTTAATTTTCTCGACCGACGGGATAAAATGTTTCGTCGTTCACAACGCTGTCAAAATAAAAAACGAAGTCCTCATCAAAAATTTGACTTATTAGCCCAACAAATTATTTTCTTAACAACACCGAGGGGATCTGATGATATTTCATTAGATATTGTGCAGTGCTTACCCGCAGAAGTGTTGTTTGTTGTTTTTTCGTACCTGGACGATTTATCACTATGTTGCGTCGGTAATGTATGTAAAAGATGGAGAAATTTATTAAAAACTCAAATTAGTGATGAATCATGGAAAGAATATACTTTAAAAAGGTGGCCTCTATTCAAACCTGTCGTTTCACACGGTAATTGGTTTAAATTGTATACTCGTTTAGTTGAAAGTTCACCTTGCCGAACTTGCTTACAAGTGATGTGGAATCAAACTAATTCTAAAGCAGAGGAATATTCGTGGAGGAAGAATAGACTCAGATATGAATTAAGAAGTCTTCAAACTGATCCTTTAGAAGGTATTCAAATCACGCCATTAGATTTTGCATGTTTTCATTGGCAAGCCACCATCACCGGCCCTGTTGGAAGCCCTTATGAAGGTGGACTTTTTTACTTACATATACATGTTCCAAATGGTTATCCTCTTTGTCCTCCGATTGTTAAATTTTTAACCAAAGTATTTCATCCCAATGTATCAAGGCATGGCGATGTTGGAATTGATTCTCTGCAGCACAATTGGAGTTTGGCATTGACTATATCTAAAGTTCTTATATCAGTGCAAAGTTTATTAACTGATCCATATTGTCATGTATGTATGGAACCTGAAATCGGTTCGTTATATTTATCAGATAAAGAAACTTTTGAAAGAATTGCCAGAGCATGGACCTGGAAATATGCAATGCATGATTATTTAAAATAATTCAAAATGGTGATGTTAACAAAAAAAAAACAATCAAATTATTCAAATGAATTTTTTTTTTTTTCAATCGTGTAGAAAATTTAAAATATGACTAGTGACTAAGCTTTAAAATTTTGTTATTTGTATAAAACAAAAAAATAAAACCTAATTATTATTATTATTATTATTATTATTACTTTTTTTTTTCTTTTCTTTAATCACATTTTTAATTATAAATTAACTGTACCGAAATGAAAAAAATAAAACCTAATTATTATTATTATTACTTTTTTTTCTTTTCTTTAATCACATTTTTAATTATAAATTAACTGTACCGAAATGAAAAAATTATATTTGTTAATAAAATAAAACTTATTATGATGATGATTTTAAACTTAATCACTTGTTCATTTAACAATTAATCAATAATTAATTTAATTAAATAAATTTTTTTTTTTTTTTATAAAACAAATTATTCAATTTGAAAAATACCCAAATATTTTTAAAAAATTTTGTGCAAAGGGCATTTCTCGATTTGATTACAAAGAAAAAATTTATTTAAAATTATAAAATAATGTAAAATTTTTTTTTTATTTTTTTTTATTTTAATAAAAATTATAAAATTCTAAAATAATATCATTATTAGTTTTCAAAAAAATTTTCTTATTATTATTATTATTTTAGGCCAGTTTTTCATACAAAATATAATATATATATATAATTGTTAATTGTGCTATTTTGCGAATTGAGTGACAAAACAAAAATTTTTGTCGCTAAAATTTTAAATTTATTAAATTATAAAATTAAAAGTAATCATTTTATTTTATTCGACATGAGTATTTATTAAAAAAACATTACAATATATATATTTAATTGTGTAATAATCGATTATTTGTTTTTTTATTTAAATTATTTTTAATTTACATTTTAGTTTTATATTACATTCATTTATCATACAATGAATTATGTTATGGAGCATTATAAATTTAAAAAAATAATAAACAAAATAGCATAATTAACATTACACGAGGTAAAAATTTTTTTAAATAAAAGCATAAAAACCGAGATTGATACAAATCATATACATGCATACTTAAAATTTTAATAATTTATTTATTAATTATAAATAAACGTACACAAAAAAAAACCTTATTAAACATTATATATGTATAATGTTTCAACAATTTATTATTATATTTTAATTAATTAATTTTAGTGCTGATATCATATTGCACTTTCATCAAAAATATTTATATTGGGCCTCATAATATCCTTAATTATTTTCATTTATATATATATATATGTATATAAATTTTTAATAAATTAATATAATTGAAGTTATAAATAAGGAATGCAGACTAGTAAATTAATTATAAAATAACACATTTTTATTTTACAAAATTTTTGATAATTTAAAACGACTTTTAACCAATTTTTTTTTTTTATTATTATCATTAATATCAGGGAAAAAATAATACAAATATTTTTGTTATTATTTTTCCATAAATCTCTCTTAATGAAGATTAAACTTAAAAAAATTTACAGTTTAGATAAGAAATAATTGAAATATTTTTAAAATTAATAAAAGTCCAATACTGATTTTATTAAATAAATAAATATTTTTTGTTTTCGCTTTTTGCTTTTTTACAAACTTATTAAAAATAAAATTTATCTACTGGGAACATAAATAATTAATAATTATAAAATTTTTACTTTTACTTACATGATAATAATATGATTGGCTTCGTAAATTATTTTGTATAAAAAAAAAGTAATAAATGATATAAAAAGTATATAAGATTTCAATCACAGTAAAACTAAAATTGATCGACTAAATATTTTTTTTTTTTTTTTTTTAAGATTTAGAATTAATGAACGATATCAATACCATCCTCGTTAAAAAAAAAAAAAATATCATTAAGCTATTAATCCCAGCCTATGTATTTTTGCAGATAAAAAATTATGCAATATAAAAACCATTGGCTTTGGACAAGCTTCTAAATCTAATTCCTGAAAAATTCAATAGGTTTTTATTAAAACAAAATTTTTCATAAAATGATAATTTTGAAAAGTTAAAAAAAAAAAAAAAAAAAAAGAAAAGTGAACCCACAATTTCACCATCCTCTCCTCCAAAATCTAACCATAGTAGTCTTGCCCCATCATCTGCTGAAGCTCTTAATTTCTCAAAAGGAAATGCCCACAATACTCTTCCTTCTCTCCCTGATATTGAAAAACTACCCCTTTCGATTAATTTAAAACCATTCTCGTAATGAAGTATTAATTGACAAGGTTGACCCTGGTATAAGCAACCTAAAAAAAATTTATGATTTTTTTAGGCCAAATTTAATATTTATTTGTACTAAGGAAAAAGAGCATTAATGTAGATTTCATCACATTTAACTTACGACAGACTAATTCTCTTTGATTTGAAACACATTGATGGGCCCCTTGAACTAGAGCTCTAGCCCAAGCAGCTAAATCTCTATGAGTTTCTGCCCTGAGGAAATGAGTAATAACACCTTCTCCTGTGCCACATCTTACATTAAAAACAATTGAGTCAGTTTGTCTAGTTGAACTAACTAATCTGAAAAATATAAAAAAAAAAAAATTTGTTTTTAAATAGCTCAAAGTCAAAATATTTTAATTACTAAAACTTTTTGTAACATTATATAAATAATTATAAGTTTACCTAGTAGAAAGTAAAGGGTAAGTTTCTAGTGATGCTGCCCATGCTTCAATACTCCAAGGTGCCGACTCATATAGCCTTAATTCTCTATCAGTAATAGCAGCAAAAATTGATTGCCATTTATCGTTATCTTCACTACTTTCAGAACTACACCTGTCATTCTATGAAAACAACAAAAGAAAATGTTAATTACATAAACTATTATCAAAAATAGTAATAATAGTTTTAATAATCTGACTCACTAATGAAGGCGGTTTTCTGGAAAGCCATCCAATATGTCTTAATTCTCCTAAAATATTTGTTAATACATTGGATGCCACTTTAAGTGCTCTTTCTGTGAGAACTGCCAAAGCAGAATGCAAGGTGTTAAACCATGCTGCTGCTTCTGCGGCATCTGATGCTCTTAGCACGCAAGCATGTACACTGTCCGGAGAGTGAAGCTCTAGTGTTCTATTTTCTAAAAAAGAAGCAAATAAAATTTTAAGGTGGAAAAAATTTAGGTTTTTGAAGAAATTTAGATTAATGAACTTACCAGAATCAATATGCCTGAAATTTCTAATCAAATAACATAGTTGTAAAGGTAGATATCTAGTATCAGCTCTTTGGGGAGATTTGGGAGAAGGAGGATCACTAGATAAAAACCCTCTTTGCAATTCCCATCCAACTTCTGATATTATACTTGCTTTTCGAAAATAAGGAGTAACCTCTCGCAAATATTTAACTGTAACCAAAAAAAATTAAAAAAATAAATTCTACTTTTTTTAGAATTCAAAAGAAAAAAAAAAACGTTACTAAACTAATACGGTATTTTATTACTCTATGATATATATACGAAAATTCGGCAACACTGGTTAAATATTATTTTTTGAATTCGCGCCTACTTTTAGATCTTAACTGACATAAAAAAATGAAATTAAATTGTGGTGTGACAATTGTTAATCGCTTTGCAACCAATATTGGTATAAAATGTGATCAAAAATTTAAAAATGCCGTTCTAGCCGTAATGAAACCTCCAAAAAATGAAGTAATTTATTTGTTGCTTATAACCTCAAAGAATAAAACTGGCACAAAATACAAAGTAAGTTTTCTTTTTGAATCATTAAACCTTAAACTTAGTGATTGGTTTTTAATTATTTTATAATTTTAGATTCGTGGTAACATTGAAAAAACTTTTACACAATTTAAGCATCAAGGCAAAAGTACGATTAGATTTTTGGAGCCGCCACATGATATACAAATAAATGCAGACAAAATTCAATTAGCAAATTTTTTATTATTTTTAAAAAAAGTTTGGAATAATGAAGTTGAAGATGTGCCACATACTACAAAGCTTCCAACATTAAAAAATGTTAATTCAAATAAATTGGAGATTAGTAAAAAATCTCAATATCCTACACTTCAAGGATTTCCAAGCAATTTGCAGACACTAATAGTAAGTAAAAACACAACGACACAATAATAAATAATTTTTATTGCAATGTGATTCAAACAAAAACTACTTTCACAGATCAATAATTGTCATTTAAAAAAACTAGATAGTAGAATTATGAAATTAAAAAATTTAACTACATTATCTTTGGACAATAATAACCTGACCGATATCCCTTATGAATTGAAAAGAATGTCTTTAAAGTATTTGTCGTTATCCAATAATAAATTGGGAAATAATCACCAGTGCTGGAAATTTTTATCATGGCCCTTAACAGAATATTTGGAATATATAAATTTGTCTGGAAATGAAGTAAGTAGTATTTTTTTTACCAATCCAAACTTCTTTTATAAAAAAAAAAAAAAAAAAAAAAATTTTACTTAAACAAAATATGTTTCAGATGAAATATTTTCCAGCTAGCCTTTCCAGATTTCATAAGTTAAAAGTATTGAAATTGAGCAACATATCAGCTAATAGAATTCCATTTCGAATATTTTTATTACCAAATCTTCAAGAGCTTGATCTCAGTAGAAATTCTTTGTTAGCATTACCGGGAACGATAACAAAAAGACTAAAAAAATTTGATAAGCTCGATATATCAGAAAATGAATTTTCTCAAAGCAATATTGGGACATCAATCGACATGAACAAAATGCCAAAAGATTATGTTCCAACCTTATTAGAATTTTCCATGAGAAACACGTTGAAAAATAAGTAATGTTGTTTAGTACAATAAGACTAACGACACATTAAAAAATTAATTTATTCAAAATTCTGTGAGTATTTTTTTTTATTTGGTATTTCAGATTACTTTATAATGAATCGACTTTACCCCCTCGACTGATTCCTTTATTAGATCATGCTAAGCTGTGTATTTGTGAAAGGATTTGCATTAAGGATTTTGGATTTATATACACAACCGCTGATCCGAAATCATTAGCGAATACAATAATTACATCAAATCGAATTAACACGATATCGATAGCTTTCACTTCGTGTTGTCCGCAACATTTGGATTATTCCAATATTCAATCATAACACAAAAGTTTTAAAAAAAAAAAAAGAATTTATATACCGCGTATTTATTTATTTTGTTATTTTTTTTTTTTTTATTTATTTTCATATTATCATTTGCCATTTGATTTTGATGCTTAAGAGATTATTATTATATAATTTTTTTTTGTTAATTTATCGTAATAATTATAAATAAAAATAATCATTTCAAACACGTTTGAATTAAATGAGGCGTAAGTCAAAGTCAAAATAAATATTTCAATCTACGATAAAAAAATTATAATTTATGCATTATAATTAATGTTAATTTTATTATTATTATTATTATTATTGAATATTAATAAAATTAACGGTAATAATAAAATCAAATTCTATTAATTAACATATTTTAAAAAAACCTTTTTTCTTTTACAAAATATGTTGTCACGGTTTTAAAATAATTTTTGGCAATTAAAAAAAAAATAAATAAAATTAATTCCCTTCCCCGCCCCTCGGAATAACAATTAATTAATAAAAATTTCGCAACACTAAATAAATTTATTAATTCACATTTTATTATTATTATTATTATTTTAATTTACTTTTGTTATCATCATTATTAATTAATTGCCAAGTGTGTTCATTTTTTTAAAAATGTTATTATGACTTTTCTTTTTTTTTCCCAACCATTTTTGAAAATTATTTTTTCTTTCTTGGCAAAAAGTATAAAAAAATATTTTTCTTTTAATTATCACAATTGTGTGTGTGTGTGTGCGTGTGTGCGTGCGTGCGTGTGTGTGTTAATCAAAGAACAAAAATAAATTTTTCATTATTTCTCCTTTTTGTTTTCTCGTTTTGTCTTTTTTTTTTTTTTTTTTTTTTTTTTTTTTTTTTTAAAAGACAATATTTATTTATTTATTTATTTATTTTTTCAATAAAATTGTTTAGAATGACGTAACGTTTTAATAATAGAAATTTTCCTTGATGAACTATTGACTCATTATTTAACATCATTAATCAAAAATAATTCGCAATAAATAATAAAAAAAAAAAAATTGACTTCCGCCA